TGTTTCAATAATTATCCTATCCTAATGACTTTAAGTCTTGTATAATAAATAACTTGGCCAAGTCATGAGAGGAAAGTAACTACAACTATCTAGTCTTTAACCCCATCGAAGATCCAAGAAGGGAAATAATATTACTTGAGTAAGCAGGAAGTGCAATCAAACAACTTCCAAAATGTCCAACAAATGATAGAGACAACTGGCTACCTGGGCAATCACCCAAAGTTTCATTTGCAACGTTGAAGCGACCAGCTTTGGCTAAGGCCTAGATTAACTGATAGACCATTTTCAGAGGCAAAAAATTTTTCAAAACTGTCCTACCCTGTCTTGGCAAGATTTGACAGTCTTTTTCCTTGTGTCCTGCTTAACCATGTACCTTGTCAGTGGTTGCCAAGCAGGAAACAAACTCCGAGTGGAGTGTCTTCGGTGCTCAACATTCTCTCAATCAGTGCTGTCAGAAGCAATTGTGTCTCATGTCAACAGAACTCTGAGTTATTTAAATGCATATTCTACAGCTCTTTGAAGTGGTTGAAGATTATCTATCTATGCAGAATACAATCTCTATGTATCTAAAGAACCTGATTAGTCTAACTATAAGTATGACAAACATAGATGACTATTGATCTATAATTCTTAATACCTATATAATTTAAAGACCAAGACTTCATATTATAATATTATACAATAAACAACTCTGCAACAAATGAGAACAATGACCTCAAAATGTAAACAATATATAAGTATCTTGATCAGAGGTAGAAATGTCCTAAAATTGTATCAATATACAAAAATGTTTTAAGCAGAGGTAGAAGCATGCATGTATACAATATGACAAAATAAATTTTCCTAGGTATATAAATGTTGTGGACAAAAATAGGAACATATTCAATATAATTTTAGTTTGTATCAATATACAAGAATCTATACCAATGTAAATTATTATTTACAGTTATTATTGCCTATAAATAATAACTCATAAGTATTCACTCTATTACTCACTATTATTATTAGTGTGAGTAAGCTCACACTAATCTGTTATCCCATCCAATTTTCCTTTTTTTTTTAGAGAGATCCCTGAGGTTCCATAATTTCACCCCTACCCCCAACCCTATACCAATTATAATCAACCCCTAAATGATGTCCCTAACCTTGAGAACAAACTTTGTTGGGAGAGGGGACATTGTCTTCTAGAATTACCTCCAGCTATCACGAGGACAATTTTCTTTCTATGGGATCCTGTGAAAGTAAAATGATGGTTAAGTTCCAAGATTACTGTCTGGTATAGTTGCAAATAGTTTATGAGTATTCTGTAGGATTTTTCTGAGCTTCCTATTTGGAGTTCTGGCAAGAATGTTGTAAAAAAGTGCATAATTTCAGCTAACCAAGTTGGAACCATCTTGAGCAGCTGGTACCCAAACAGGTCATATAGTAGTGCTATCAGCATCATGACATCATATCAACCAGGTGGAGTTGTTGCTGTGGGGCCCCATATTCTTCCTGGAAACTTCAAAGATTACTGCAGGGAAATTCATTGTTCTTTGTGGAAAACTTGCACATTATTTATATAGACATATACAGGCATATATATTCAATCAAAGGTACAATAGAGACAAAAATAGGTATGAGAAAAATTAAAATTTTTCTAAATTCTTTTTTTAAATTTTAAATTTAATTTAAATTTTAAATTTAAATTTTAAAAACTCTGAATTTAAACATTCAGAGTTTAAAAACAAACTCTGAATGTTTCTTTTAACAACTTGCTTGGATGTAGAGAAAAGAAGGTTTCTACAGAAATGACAGCGACCATTCAAAAGGCAAATATTCCCCAAGCTTTGCAAATGAGGAAATACAGGGGAATGCGTGACTCCCATGGTCAGCCTAGAGATGGCCAGCTGTGCTCTCATTGTATAATGCTGTGTATTACAATACCTGGGAGGTCACTAATGTGAGCTTTCTGAAGCCTTTTGCTTGTGCTAGTGTTCCTTGATGGTGAACAACTTGGGTATGTGCGCCTCAACTCTGGGTTATGTTTTTGCCACTTCATCATATAGGTTTTTCCAAGCATAGACAGCACATGCACACGTGTGCACAAATGTATGTGTAGGTCTCCAATAGTAGCAGCTGCACTTCGCAGTCACCTGTGTCTTTCCCTGTCGCAACACATGCTGTGGTAATGAAAAGTCCTTGGCTGACTGACCTTCATATTTCCAGGACCCCTTATTCACAGCATGAGAGGGGCCTTGATGTGGGATTCCCCTCTGTATGCTGTGAATACCATTGGTTAATAAAGAAACTGGCTTGGCCTGAAAGGGTAGAGTAGAGCTAGGCGGGAGAAACTAAACTGAATGCTGGGAGAAAGGAGGCAGAGTCAGAGAGAAGCCATGGAGCTGCCAGAGACAGACATGCCAAAACTTTGCAGTAAAGCAAAGCCACATTACTAGAAATGGGTTAAATTAATATGTAAGAGTTAGCCAATAAGAAGTTAGAGCTAATGGGACAAGCAGTGATTTAACTGATACAGTTTCTATGTGGTTATTTCAGTTCTGGGCAGCTGGGAACAAACAAGCAGCCTCCCTTGTTGGTTGATGTACTCTCTGCAGTGGAGAACAATGTGAGCAAAGATCTGGTGAGGAGGAAACTAGAGCAGCATCTTGACAGTACAGGCAAGAGATGGCTTTGAAAGCTGTTGTCTGTCAGGGCCATGTCCAGGCTGAGAGACGCTGAGCAGTCTCTGAGGGACTCAGTGATGGAGAGCCACCAAACCATAGAAGGTACTGGTTCGGGAGAAGCTGATGATGGCACAGGACATCAGGAGAGAGGAGAGGACAGTGTAAGAATGGTGTAATTGGAGTACTGTAGTCAGCTCCCTTTACTCTACAGCCTCCCCAGTGATATGCGAAGGCTTACTCTTCTGGCTTTTTGAGCCCACCACCCAGATCCCAAATAAATCACACACAGAGGCTTACTCGTAGTTATGATTGCCCGGCCTTAGCTTGGCTTGTTTCTTGCCAGCTTTTCTTAAATTATCCCCACTACCTTTTGTATCTGGGCTTTCCCTTTTCCTACTTCTGTATCTTACTTTCACGCTTACTCTGTGACTGTCTGGGTGGCTGCCCCTGATGTCCTCCTCTCCTTGCTTTCTTGCTCCTTTTCTTCCTCTTTTCTCCTCTATTTAGACTCTCTGCCTGTCAGCCCCACCTATCCTTGCTCTTGTCTTGCTATTGGCCATTCAGCTCCTTATTACACCATCAGGTGTTCTAGACAGGCACAGTGACACAGCTTCACAGAGTTAAACAAATGCAGCGTAAACAACAGCAACACACCTTAACATAAAACCCCCAATACCCCAGGGTTAGTGTGGAAGAGTGGATAAAGGGGCTGGGAGGCCAACAAGAAATGTGGAACCAGATTTTCAGTTAATGATGATGACAGAGACAGGAAAAGAAGAGGGCTGAGACATTTCTAAGGTGGTTTGAAAGAAATTGGTACCTGAATCAGGGTAAGAGGGATAGCACAGTATACTAGGGAAGAGGACTGGATAGATGTGGAAGATATCCCTGTCACCAAGCACCCAGGATGTCGTGAGGGAGAAGAAGGTATGCCTGGGAGATGTCTTAGTGAACTTGGATTCATGGTCATGAAGATCATGGCCACAGTTCTCCTCTGCTAAATCCTTATAGACCCTCAGCTCCCTTTGTGACCATTCTGGGCTTTCCATCTCTTACTTCCTGCCATTTCCAGACAGGACGCCACTGACAGACGGGCTGCTCTCCAGACCTTTCTCATTTCTGTTTTCAGCCCACTGACCCAGGGAACAGAAGGCATTTATACATACTTTCTCTCTTTCAGAAGTGACTGAGACCAAGAGTTCTCCTTTGCAGCAGGGCTTCTCGGAAGATGGCCTTTCCCAGATTATGGACACATTTTCCAAGGAGGAACTCAACTTTGAAGGCTGTATAGGTGAGGGCTGGTTAGGTAGTTTGCTAGGAAATCCAGAAAGTTCTAACATCTGACATTACAAATTACAAGAGTCATAAATTCAAGAGCAGCCTCAGTCCTGGGCCTCTCTTTTCCATAGAAGAGGATGCTATGATGTCTGATATTTGCCAAGAACCCAGCTCCAGCGACACTGCGGGAAGCCGGGAGTGACCGCAGCTGTTACTTAGAGCAGAGCCAGAGGGACTCTGTCCAGGGAGCAGAGCAGAAGAGAAGCTGTATCGGTACAGTGAGTATGGGAAAAGCTCCAGCCAGAGTCACCACCTCCTCCAGCACTGGATTATCCATGCAGGGGAGGGGCTCAGCAAGGTTGCTTTCCTTCTTGTGCGCCCAGAGACTTGAACAAGCTATAAATCCTCCATCTGCCGGGAATGCAGGAAAAGGGTCAGTCAGGATATCCACACTGGAAGAAACCTGTGTAAAACTCAAAGTGATAACCTCAAAAAGCCATCCAGGAGTCAAAGTGGCCCAGCCACAAAAGCTGCTACAGAGTAGAGGTGCTGACTCAGCAAAACTGTGTAAGCTTCAAGGTTGGGACCAAGAGAAACCACCTGCTAGTAATAGTGACCCCCAAACACTGCATAAAGGGCCTTCTTTATTCACAGCTTAATAAAGCACCAGAAAACTCTCACAAACACTAAGTCCTACAGATGTGAGGAATGTGGGGGCCCACTCAGCCAGGCCTCTCATCTAGCTGGACACCAGAAAATCCATACTAGAAACTCTATGAATGTGCTACATGCCTTGAAATCTTCCACGGAAGGAAACATTTTGTCCAACATCGAAAAACTCATTTTGCAAAACTTGTCTTTTGAGTGTCAAGAATGCAAAAAGAGGGCTGGAGAGATGGCTCAGAGGTTAAGAGCACTGACTGCTCTTCCAGAGGTCCTGAGTTCAATTCCAGCAACCACATGGTGGCTCACAACCATCTGTGATGAGCTCTGGTGCCCTCTTCTGGCCAGCAAGCATACAGACGGACAGAACACTGTATACATAATAAATAAATCTTAAAAAAAGAATGCAAAAAGACTTTAATCAGAGGTCATCATCCATTGAGCAGCAGACTGTTCGTACAGGAGTGAAGCCATACAAGTGTAGCGAATGTGGCAAAGCTTCCAACCACTCCTCCACCCTGAAGATCCTCCAGAGGGTTCACAGTGGAGAGACTGCCTTACAAATGCGGGAAAACCTTCTGTCTGAGCACGCACCTTAATGAGCATCAGCGAACCCCTCAGGTTACAGGGGCTACCAGTGTCCAGACGTGTCAGCCGTCCTAACATCTGTTCGGCATCAGCGGAGCCATGCCGCAAACAGGCGCTTTGCCTGTGCTGCGAGCAAGGAGACCTTCAGCCACAGCCGACACCAGCGAGTGCCTGTATGAGCGCGCGCCGCGTGGCGAGCTCTTCGTCTGTGAGTCAGCTCTGACTTGCCACCTGAGCGTTCACACCAGAGAAAATACAGGCGGGAAGGTTTTAGGTCCGAACTCAAGGCATACTGAGAAACGCTTTAAGTGGAACAAATATGGAAAAGCCTTCAATCACAACAGTTACCCACGGCAGCATCAGAAGAGTCACAACATCCTGTGTAGGGCCTGCAGTCTGGGATGGTACGTGAGCCTGTAACTAGGCTGGAGATTTTAAAACACCTGCACACAGACAGAGACACGAGGTCACGGGTCATCCTTGACACAAGAATGCCAACTTTATTGTGCTCCAGGGAAGCTTATTAAAGAGTTCCTTCACTGATAACCATGCCCCAGCTTTTGGGATTTCCAGAATTCACTCCCTGCCATCAGGAACTCATGCAGGCTGCTCAGGGCACAGGAAAACAAGTTGTTTTGTTCAGAGCAGCTGCAAGCATAACAAATCGTTTACAGGAAATTCAGGGTCTGGGGGTCCACAGCCCCCAACAATCCTGTGAGTGTAACCAGTGTGGGAAAACCTATGACCAGAGTATGTGGCTCATTTGCCATCCGGGCATCCATGCTGGTGTGAAGCCAAAGGAACGCACTGAGCCTGAATCTCCATGCATAACGCCTCTGTCACTGAGCATCAGCCTCCCAAAGTGAGCACCCATTAAATGTAACAAATGCAACAGGATCTTTGATCACAGTGCCCAGCTTTTGAAACATCAGTTAATTCACACTGGAGAGAAACCCTTTACATGCCGTGAGTGTGGTAGAGCCTTTAAGCAGAGCAACTCCCTTGTTCAGCACCAGAGAATCCATATTGAAGAGAAGCACTTCGGGTGTAATGAGTGTGGGAACGCAGGTCGTCAGAGTTGCTGCCTTTCTAAGCATCAGAAGATTCTCTCCGGGGAGAAGCCCTTTAGATGTGGTGACTGTGGGAAATCCTTCAGCCAGAGCCCTGCCTTCCTCTTCACCGCAGAGTTCACCCTGGGGAGAAGCCATGCTCGTGTGGCGCACATGGGAAAGCCTTTTCCCAGGGAGCAAATGAGAGGAAGCATGACAGGATTCACAGTGCGGTAAAGCCTTCTATCTGGGTGTGTGCGGTAAAGCCTTCTATCTGTGGTGTGTGCTGGGTGTGTGCGTTATATAAAGCCTTCTGTCTGGGTGTGTGCGGTAAAGCCTTCTATCTGTGGTGTGTGCTGGCTGTGTGCGGTAAAGCCTTCTGTCTGTGGTGTGTGCTGGGTGTGTGCGGTAAAGCCTTCTGTCTGTGGTGTGTGCTGGGTGTGTGCGGTAAAGCCTTCTGTCTGGGTGTGTGTGGTAAAGCCTTCTATCTGTGGTGTGTGCTGGCTGTGTGCGGTAAAGCCTTCTATCTGTGGTGTGTGCGGTAAAGCCTTCTGTCTGGGTGTGTGCGGTAAAGCCTTCTATCTGTGGGGTGTGCGCTAAAGCCTTCTATCTGTGGTGTGTGCGGTAAAGCCTTCTGTCTGGGTGTGTGCGGTAAAGCCTTCTGTCTGTGGGGTGTGCGGTAAAGCCTTTGGCTTCAGCACTCATCCGTCAACACCAGAGAATTCACACCCAGGAGAACCACATTGTCACGATTGTCACAAAGCCTTTCCTAGCCTTTCTGCTTTAGCAAACACCAGCAACTTCACTCTTGTAAAGTAGCAAGTAGTACTGCCCAGAGCCACTTGGTGACAGCAGAGTCCCCTACATTGGGAGGCATTCATATAAAGTCAGCCACTGAGACCAACACCTCGCAAAGGGCACCTCCCAATAAGTCCTAATAAAAATTGACAAGACAGAATGTACAAATTCATTTCACTTAGATAGGTGGTTCTCCACCCCCCCCCAATGCTGCAACCTTTCATACATCTTCTCATGTAAATATCTGTTTTCTGATGGTCTCAGGCAACCCCTGTGAAAGGGTCATTTGACCTCCAAGGGGGTCACAACCCACAGATTGAAAACCCCTGATCTAGACAAAAACAGAAAAATTAAGATGTGTAATTGCTGGGTAGTGGTGGCACATGGGAGGTAGAGGTAAGGGGATCTCTGAGATCAAGACCAGCCTGGTCTACAAAACAAGTTTCAGGACAGCCAGGGCTACACGAGAAGCCCTGTCTCGAAAGAGCAACAACAAAAAGTTGTGTGATGTCAGGATTCAATGCTAGACTTTGGAGAGTGTCTGCCTGAATTGAATTCTAGTTCTGTCAGCCTTGTGAACGTCATTGTAGTTTCTCAATACTTCTGTTTGCTTACCTGTAAAATGGGCATAATATTCACATCCCTTAGGGCTGTGGTGAGGATTAAATAAATTTCAATACACTTTTTTAGATTTATTTATTATGTCTAAAGTGTTTTGCTTGCATGTATGCTTACACCAGAAGTTACCAGATCTCATTATACTCATTATAAATGGTTGTGAGACACCGTATGGTTGCTGGGAATTGAACTCAGGACCTCTGGAAGAGAAACCAGTGCTTTTAACCTCTGAGCATCTCTCCAGCCCCATTTTGGTTGGCCTTGAATTCGTGATCCCCCTGCCTCCACCTCCTTCAGCAAATCCTGTTTGTGTGCACCGCCATAACCAGCACAAATACACTTTCCAATTAAACATGAGAACTGGTGGTTGTGGTTGACGTTCCCTGCATCATTTATGGCTTTTAAAGCTTTCTAATAGTCCAGGTTTTGCTCAACTCCTTAATTTTTTAAAAAATACCTGGCCCTTTTCTTCTGCCGGCATCTCTATTTTGTTCTAGTTTTTTAAAATTAATTTATTTATTATGTATACAGCATTCTGCCTGCATGTATGCCTGCACACCAGAAAAGGGCACCAGATTTCATCATCGTTGGTTGTGAGCCACCATGTGGTTGCTGGGAATTGAACTCAAGACCTCTGGAAGAGCAGCCAGTGCTCTTAACCTCTGAGCCATCTCTCCAGCCCCTCTAGGTTCTTTTGAACATGTAATTTTTAACTTTCTAATTGCAAACTGCTAAAACTTTACTCATAATCTCCCAAACTCGGAACACAGAGGATCACATAGTCTCATACCACCTCTTTCCACAGTCGCTCTCCATTTGAATTATTACGTATAAAAGAGCCGAGTCCGTCATGAAATTAATGACTGCAAACATCTGGATTCATGAGTGATTTTCCAAACGTCAGGGCAGTCAGGAAACTGCCGGAGGTGCTGAGACAAAGCAGCACAGCAGTAAGACGTTGCTGGTAAGAACTGTGCATGACAGTGTTTGCAGGAATGGGCCACTCCGCCCAGCAGGCATCTGCCAGGCCACAGCCAGGCACACTGGGAGGACTGCCGTCGCCCCCAGTGTCTCTGGGTGAGAAACACAGCCCCTGGTTACAGGGGTTTTCTCATCTGACAGGTGCCGCCTTTTTCTTCTTCTCCCTCTCCTCCTCCTTCTCCTCCTCCTCCTCCTCCTCCTCTTCCCTCTTCTCCTCCGCCTCCTCCCACTTCTCCTCTTCCTTCTCCTCCCTCTTCTCCTCCTCCTTCTCCTCCCCCTCCTTCTCCTCCTCCCTCCTCCCAAAGACTTTCCCCTCCTTGGAGTCCTCTGACTAGGACAATTTGTCATGGGAACCTGGCTTACCTTGAGCATTTTTTTTTCCAAACAAATGTTTAACTTCCTCCAGACTGTAGACAGAGTCTAGGTAGCCAGGCGGTGGTGGTGGTGCACTCCTTTAGTCCCAGGGTTCGAGAGGCGAGTCTCTTGAGTTCAAGGCCAGTCTGGTCACAGAGTCAATTCCAGGACAGCCAGAGCTACACAGAGAAACCAAACCAACAAAAAACAAAGAGTATAGGCAGAAAGTCTGAAGGCAACAGTACACACTGGTGGGTGCAGTTGCTGAGGGCAGTCAGACTCATGTGTACACGCCCAATGACGGGCACGCATGCGCACAGGTCTAAAAACAGTCTAAAGAAGTGCTCAGTGAGAGATAGAGACAGGAAGTCTATGCAAGTTGTTGGCCGGTGGGAGGGGACGGATGGACTGGCTTTTCTGACTGAAGTCTTGATCTACATGTTGGCCCTCCCACTCACCCTAGCTCCACATTTTGATCAGATGCTGGCCAGGCAGAGTCCCCACTGTCAGACGGGGAAAAGTTGCAGCTGGAGAGAGACAAAGCGAGGTCAGAAGTGCTGTAGACTCGTGGTACAGAGGAAAGAAAGGGGGGTGGGCTGTTCTGGCTACTCAGCCATAGAACAGTTCCCCACAGTGCTGTGGCTGGAAGACCAGAGCTAAGGTTGGGAGATCTCGGGATCTGAGAGGATGTTCCCCAGTTCCTAGGTGGCACCTTGTCAGTGTTCTGCTTTGCATAGATCCCTGGGAGAATCAGGGATGACCTTTGGCTTAGCAGTAGCCCGGCAGCCAGCTTCTGGTAAACCGACTGCCTTTGTTTTGCACAATTTACACCTCTTAGCAAGTCAGTTTCCACATATCAAAACCTTTTATCTGGAGTCGTTTGAAGGAACCAAATGCCTGAGCAATTCCCAGTCACGAAAACTCATGGTTTGCCCAGTCATCTCATAACCAAGTTTTGCAAAGGCTCTGAACCCTTCAGGAAGCACTCAGATGAGAATCAAACACATAAACAAAAGGAAGCATAACAGAAGACAGTTCAAGGCCCAGGTGCTGCACGGAGTTCAAGCCAGGTGCGCCCTCTGCCTGATCGCTGCTACTGCACCACCTCCCAGGGCGGGCTGGAAGTTCCCGAGACTCCCCACCTCTTCACTCACGGGGGTGTTAGGTTTCTAAATAGGAACTTGAGGAGCGCATTCAAGTCATGGCTAGTATGGAAAGGGTGAGTGGAATGAGTGTTGGGGAGAGGCCGGGTGAGGGGGGACTGAGAGGCTCAGATTTAGGTGATGTGGGCAGAGAACAGCGGGAAAGAGTACAAATGGGATGCATTTGGAGGGGTGTTTGGGTGAGATGCTTCCTGTGTTTCTAAGCTGCTAGGACATAAACCTAGAATAGTGGGTGACCTTGCCGTCATGAAGGATAATTCTGTCTCCAACACGAACCTGTAGGACCAGAGATGGCTGGCTCCGTTCCCAACACCTACATTAGGTGGCTCACAACCACCTGGAACTTCCAGTTTCAGGGACTGGAAACCCTTTTCTGACCTCCATAAGCACCTGCAACCCCCCCCCCCCCCACATAGATTAAAAAATAGACCTAACCAAAACTGAGGTACTACGGCAAGAGCAGAACACTGACAGAAACACCTGCACCACCTGCTCCTGAAGGTGACCCTTTCACTATATTAGCTAATAATTCCTTCTCTGGAAGAAGCACATGGTTCTTGGTTGATAGGAATCTCTAATAAACCATTGGTAAAATAGGATGTAGTGACACACACCTGCAATGCCCCAAGCACCTTGGTGGCAGAGGCAGGAGAGTTGAAAGTTCAAGGTCAGGACTGAGAGATGACTGGGTGTAGTGCTTGCCTTGGAAACATGAGGATCCTGGAATCTGACTTTGAGGACTATCCCCCAAAGAAGAGACCAAGGCAGAAAGGATGTTCATTCCGTTCTAACGGGAATTCTGCAAGAAATGTGTAGCATCCAGAGCGCAGAGGCAGAGAGAAGCCTAGCAAAGAGAGAGCGTGTGCGAAGGCCGGAGTGTGGCCAGAGTGTTCCCTCAGCAGGGTTACCGCAAAGTAAAGCTACCCTGTTCAGAAGACACGGGAGCACTGTAACATGGGAGGAGGGCAGGTCATCGTCCTGGAAGTGAGGAAGTGGCTTTCCTACTTTCCACTTGTGCTTCCTGACAAACAGGCGTTCAGAATACACACACTCAAGAGAAACGACTGAATTTCTGAGCTAGGCAGATAAAAGGAATTGGTATCTTCATATTTCTGGGCATGTTCCAAATTATCCTTTATAATAAGCATACATTACTTGACCAAAAAATTGTATGCATACATAAAGATGTCCAACATCATTGACAAAAAACCCCAGGAAGCCATTTCCCCTTTTTGGATGGGAGCCTGGCTCCAGCTGTCCCAGAAGAGCAGTGAAGGAAGGAATCAGCAATGACCCTGCCCTATGGCCACAGATCTCCATAGTTACTGCTCTGCTCAAGACCGTGGGTGTTTTGGCAAAAGGGAACCAACCAGAGTTTTCCTTGAGATGTACATCTGTGGTTGATAGGTAAAACATGTTCAAGTAGGTGGTAACCATGCTAACTGCCGCTCGGAGAGGCCCGTCGCATGAAGCTAGAGAGGAGAGCCAACCAGCGCCATTTGAACTTTAGCTTTATCATGTCCCATGACTGCAGCACTTCCCAGTATTGTGAAGTTTTTATAAAAAAAATCTAAATTCTCACCGGGCAGTGGTGAGGCACACCTTTAATCCCAGCCCTCGGGATTAGGGGCAGGTGGATCTCTGTGAGTGAGTGCCAGGATAGGCTCCAAAGCTACATAGAGAAATCCTGTTTCAAAATCTAAATTCTCAGGGCTAGAGAGATGGCTCAGCAGTCAGGAGCACGCGCTTACTGCTCTTGCAGAGGACCTGAGTTCAGACCCCAGCACCCATATTGGGTGGCTCACAACTAGCTGGAACTCCAGTTCCAGGGAATCTGGTGCCCTCTTCTGGTTTTCTCAAGTGCCCAGTGCTAATGGGCACATGCCCATTTATAGACACACACATACATATACTAATAAAAATTAAAGTCTTTTTAAAGAATAAAACTGGCTTAAGCTATTTTGATTCTTTATGCAAGAGTCCTCACAGATCCATTATGGAAACAACAGTGATCATTATTGCTGAGTGAGTACTTAGCATGCATTAAATGTCACCCGTCGGGTGCTCAGCGTCGCATGATTCGGTCAGTCCAAGATGAAACGTTTCAGCCTGTATGGCAGCAGGAAGGCCCAGCCTCTGGTGAACTGAACTGAACAGCCATACAAAGGCATACTTATTGATTGTTACACAAAGTTGTTTTTGGATAAACAAGTTCCTCATACCAAAGTCTCTGACCTATAAGTTTTTCTGAAGGAAAGCATCATACCCACGCCACTGTTAGCAGTGCCCAGTAATCCAAGAGCCTCAGGTGTGCCAGGAGAGTCTGGTGACCAAAGTCCCGTGAAGCTGCATCAGAGAAACAACTCTATACATCGCAGAAAACAATCACTGGATTCCACCAAGATTTCTCCAAGGTTAAAGGACTTCTAGAAAACAACTATTCTGTTCTAATGTTCCCTTTGATGCAGTGACTCTGCTAGATTCCCACAACACTCCCCGCATACTATTCTAATCTTGTTCTGTGTAGTCAGCGACTTACTTACCAAATCGTCACCTGATTGCCAATGCGCTGCTGGAACCAGAGACACAGGGCAGGGAGGTCAACAGCACAAAAAGTGGCTTGGCATGGAGAGGGCCCAGCGCAAGATTTCTTCAGAGAGAGCATGGAGGCCACAAGGACCAGCGGTGAGGAGGGCCAGTGAGATGGCCCATAGGGTAGTCATTAGCTACCATGCCTGACAATCTGAGCTCAATCCCTGGGGTCCACATGATAGAACAGACTCTCAACAGTTGTCTTCTGACTGCACACACACACACACACACATACACGCACACATACACACATACACACACATACACATACACACACATACACACACATATACACACACATACACACACCTGCGCATGCGTACAAACAAACTCAGATAAATGTAATTAAAATAAATTGATGTGGGATTCCCCTCTGTATGCTATGAATAAGTTTTATTATTATTGGTTAATAAAGAAGCAGCCTGGACCTATGGCAGGGTAGAATATAGCTAGGCAAGAAAACCAAATGCAGGGAGAAAGAAGACAGAGTCAGACAGACGCCACATAGCTGCCCAAGAAGTAAGATGTGAGGTAACAAACCAAGATATTTTTGGTAAAATATAAAATAATAGAAATGGGTTAATTTAAGATAGAAGGGCTAGCAAGGAATATGCCTGAGCCATTGACCAAATAATGTTGTAATTAATACAGTTTTTGTGTGATTATTCAGGTCTGGGTGGCCATGAAATGAAATTGCAGTCTCCATTTATAATGAATATTTACAGTAAAGGACCAGTCAACTTTTAAAAAGAAAGCAAAGGAAGACAGGCCAGGCAGGAGGACAGCAAGCTTGCACAGAAAGCCTGGAACATAGGAACATCCGTAGAAGACAAGGAGTCCCATGGTTGGAAGTTCAGGGGAGGGGCATAGTGGTACATGCCTGTAATCCTTGCCATGAAAGGCTGAGACAGGTAGCTCAAGGGTTGGAGGCCAGCCAGGGCTACAGAGCAAAACACTATCTCAAAACACACATAGAAAAGAAGGTGAATTAGCCAGGGCTCACCCAGTGCCAGGGCTCCATCCAGCCCCACTCCTCCACGATGAAGTTACAGGGGAATCTCTGTCAGCCAATGAACTTTAAGAGGTGGGACCAAATTAGGGCGTTATCTTTCGGATGCCAGGAGAAAAAAGCCAGGTGGCCCAGGGTTAGCGCTCTCTCTCTCTCTCTCTCTCTCTCTCTCTCTCTCTCTCTCTCTCTCTCTCTCTCTCTCTCT